TGTAAATGATTTAAAATAAAAAACTTTGATAGCCTCTGGAGAAATGAAGCCTTAAAATGTTTTACTGCAATTTCACAAAATTAAAAAATATTTCTGAAAACAGTAAGGTTTTAAGTGTAATAAACCTTAATCAAATTTACCTTATTTTAATCGTAGAAACTAAAATGTAATAATATACAGGGTGTTCCATTTAAAAAATACAACTTTGATATTTTTTACTTATTTGGGACCCTCTGTATCTTGTAAAATATTTTTAAATTGTAACTCTATTAGTTCTTCAAGGAACCCAAAACTTATAATTTGTAGCACCCACCGTTTAACTACAATAATCAGGTCCGTGTGTCGTATGTGGTAAACAACCCTGTAGATATTGTCTCCATCAGTTTTTCTAATAATTTTTTGCCTTTGATTTAATAATATGAAGAAGAAAAGTTTCAAAAATTTTGCCAAGCATAATAATTTGTTAAAAAATGCAAAAATAGATTATTACAATAATGCAATGGTAGGTAATGCAATGGTAGATTATTACAATAATCTAACAATCCATCTACGGACTACCAATATTTTGATCATTTTTATATCTATAATATTAGTGTATAAGCTCATGTTTAAGTAAATAAGAAGTTTACATTTTTCGCAGTTTCTTTCTGAAATTGGGTTACTTCAAATAGTACATCAATCTAACAAACTCAATAAAACATTTAGGAGCAAAAAATATACACTACTGAAAAATTATTTGCAATAAAGAACAAACTTATTATTAAGATGATTATTTATAACTTCTACACACAAACTAAATTGCAAAAAATATTCCAAACTTTCCCCTTCAATAAGTTTGTTGTCGAATTTTGGCCAGCTTAAACTTTAACAATAGGCGTTGCTTACGACACCGCGTCTTTGTATTCTTTGTGGCGGCCAGTGATGAGTTGTTATAAGTAATGACAATTTCCTGTCGGCTTTAAAAATAGCCATGATGGTTTCACTCTAAATCTTATTCGGCAAATAGGACTTTTTCCTTAACAGACCATATTGATAACTCGTAATTGCTTAATCTAATAAGTAAAACAATGTGACAATTTTTTTTATCTTTTACGTAAACCGCGTGATAACAAAATCCCTTTTCCAAAGCGCTATTCAGCTGATTTTTAACGAATAAATTTTTAAAACATTTGTACGAAATATGATTCGTAAAAAGTTCCATTTAAAAACTATTTCTATGTTAAAAAGAACTACTATTTTCCTCGCTATTTTCAATATTTTTAATGATAACATCACAGTACACAAAATAATAGCATAGAACCACCATCTCCAGATATCATGAGGTAACAAAGCGGTTAAATTCCAAATTCAATATAGAAGAATTTTGAATTATCGCATAATAATGATATCTTCTCAAGGAAGGCAATGACAAACCACCTAAAACAACTAAAAGTACTTTTATAAAAGGAGAAATAATTCAGTGAGCCGAGCGGTTAACATGGTTGATTTTGGTGAATTCAAAATACCATACGATCGAAAGAAAAACGGCGTCAAAGATGTCTGAGGAATGACAATCTATGATAAATTTGGCGAGGTAAACCCTAGACATCATTTACTTGGCCCATACTTTCCTCAATTTTTTATGGCGCTTACTGCCAGTTGGCCTTAAAAAGGTTGTAATTTATTTTTATACTGTAATAAAATACTTAAGTATAGTTTAAAATTCGAGAAAAATTTTTTGGAAATAGATATTTGTGTCTGGAAACGTTCTATCCTTTCTTTCTATAACCTTTTTATAATTAGTGTTAATTTTTGACAAGTTTTATGTCAATTTTTATAAATAATGTGTAATTGACGTCTAGAGAGTGACCTTGCCAAAATTATCGAAATGAATGATAATAATGGAAAAATAAATTACAGTATGAACAAGTATGAATTTCTGAATGTCTTAGATAAATGTCAAATCTGCTGATTCAGACGTTTCAGACGCAGGTGGTGAATACCTACATATTATAAATGTTGACCAAGTAAGATTTATTATAATTATAATAAAAACTACGGCGTAAGGCCATTTCATATTTCCAACTAAATAAACTGTAAAAAAATACTTTTCATAAAATTCAGTGGAGTTCATGTATTATTATCATTGCATATTACCATTAGCTTTTCATCATGACGATAACATAACAAAAGCTTAGAATTCATTCATTTAGTTTCACTCATATTCTTTAATGTAGAATGTAGAGAGTATTTTTTTTATTTGTAAAATCTAACATTTATAAATTCATATAAATTTAAGATTATAAGCAATTTCTTAATTGATGTCTTTTTTTATATACGTGATAATTTAACATTGATAATTATTGTTTAAAATTAAACTTACAACAATATCGACGACAATAAAATAATTCCCATTTTTGGTGATATATAAACATTGTTTCACAAGCAGCTAGAAAAATATTTCAGTGGTGCAGATCGTCCATGCCCTTTAATTCTCACCCCATTAAGGCAAAAAATACGTTTCGAAGTTACGGTGGAAGCCAAACGCAACAGCTGATAGGAAATGAATGCGAATTATAAAACGCTATTGTTATGAGGCTCGGGTGAAGTCTAACCGCCATTTTCCTTCAGGTGGGATTAGTAGTCGCTTTTGTCTCACAATAAGCCCCAGAAGTTGGTTTGCATTATAAAAAATAGGAGAAGAGGGAAGTAGAGTTATAATGTGACACCATCAATATATTTAAGAAAGTCAGTAATGGCACCATTACATTTACGTAGTTCTGTACAAACATAATATGTCCCTTAAGAATGTCACTATTGAAATTAGAACATAAAAATAAAACTATCTGCAGTTCTAGTTGCTTGTGCAAACTTGCTCTCAAACCAAAAACCTTTTAAAATAATTTATTTTCTAAATTTTCTTTGGAGAAAAAAATATCGAAAAAAATTAATTGAAGTCAAAATAATTCCAGTGCGCATATGATACGAAATTATTGCACAAACCATTGTAATGTATGTTAACTTTGTAACAAATAACAATAAACTGTTTTCAGTTCGCATTTTTAAATGGAATGTGTGTAATTGAAGGTTTCAAAGTCCCAATTCCCATTAAAATATTCTCAGTAATAAAAACACAAACATCTGCAAAAAATAGGTATGTGACTATAAATATATTCATATAGTTTTTTTTTCTTGGGTATGAGGTTTTATAATTTAAAGATGGAAAACTTTTTCTTATGCGACGTTTTTCTTCTTCTCGGAAAAAAAGTAGATTGTATGGCAGGAGAAAAGTTAATCACCGCGACCCTATGACCTATTGTATCCCCCTTTCTTGAGTTATAACTCATCAGACAGTCTCAGTGCTTCGACAGAAGCCAGTATCTCAGACGGTTTTACAGAGGTTAGTTCTCCATCTCCAATATCAGTTGGTTGTTTGTATCAAAGTTTATGGCACAAATGGTCGTCGTCTCGGCGCACTCAGTGATGGGATGTTCTAGTTTCTGTCGTTTACCCATTTTCCCCACACAATCTGCAGTCGCCGATTTTTCTTAGCTTAGATGAGGGGTTCATTGAGCACTGTTAAAAACCCCGCGACAATCCGAAAATCTTTCTTACTTAACTCAAGGAAAATCCTTGATTTTTTTTTGTCGTAAGTCCGAAGAAATTTCCGAATGTCTTAAACCTAATGGTTTCAGACACTCGGAAAATTGAATATAATATATTATTTAATAATCTAATGATAATTCCTATTTCAGGTTATGGATGGAGTCTTCCAGGTTCTTGAGTTCCGCTTTGAGTTGGTTTCTACTTAGGAAGCAGAACGGTTCTGGTCCAGTTAGTGGAGTGTTCGTTCCTTTTCTAGCCTGATCGTTTGCTTTTTCCGAGGCCTTTTTATTATCTTCTATCCCTTAATGGGCCTGCATACAGATTAAGAGAACTTCTTTGACAAACTTTGAATTGATGGTTACTGAGTTCTAATCAATCAATCAAGTCTCTATCTCCTAAGATAAGTTGTATGAATCTTTCGATAGCGTAGGCTTCTGCCCATTCAGAAGGGGGGGCCCATCAGAGGGGGGCCCATGGGGCCAGCCCCCCCCTAAAATCTCTAAATCGGGTTAAATATTAGGCTTTTGGTTAAAAATGGCGCTCTAAAAAGCATAGTTTACATTACTTTTTATTTGGGCCCCCCTAAAATAAATTTCTGTATCCGCCCCTGCTTCTGCTTGAAGG